TTTCTAATTTTTTGGTATTCACATGTTAGTAACTTAAGTTGTGTAATGGCTATTTTTATTTTCTTCATTTTAGAATTGTCTAGGAGCTTTAGATGGAACATACATAAGGTGCTTTAGTGCCACTCGAAGACAAGGCTCGATACAAAACAAGAAAGAATGGAATTGCCACAAAAGTGTTAGGGGTTTGGTCACAAAATATGAAATTTATTTATGTGTTTCCCGGATGGGAAGGGTCGACCGCTGATGGTAGAGTGCATTGACACGCTCTTCTTAGGCCACATGGGTTATAAGGAAATAGGTCATATTAGTACTTGGTAGATGTCAGATACACAAATGGTGAGGGTTTCCTCGCCCCATATAGAGGTCAAAGATATGACTTAAATGATTGGCGGGATGGATACCAACCAATGACACCAAAAGAAATTTTTAACAAGAGACATTCCTCTGCAAGAAATGTCATATAACGATGTTTTGGCATTTTGAAGGAAAGATGGGAAATTTTAAAAGATAACTTGTACAATCATGCTAAAGTGAAAAACAAGATCATAATGGCATGTTGTCTACTTCGTAATCATATCAGGCTAGAAATAGCAAATGATCCGTTTAATAATGATGGTTTGGATGAAACAACTGAAGACGATAAAGACTAAGTCGTGGATAACGTCAGTTCTGTTGGGAAATCAACTGAATGGACTGCATTTAGAAATAATTTGGCACAACATATATTTGAGGCTTCGAATGGTACACATTGACCTTTTTGATTTGTAATGCTAGAAGTTTATCTTTATGGTCTTTAACGAATTTAATACCTATATTGTATATCGTTAAGATTTGTAATTCTACAACTTGATTTTTATGATTTGCATGTTTATGTTTACATGTTATTTTTTTTATTCTTAATTTTGTTTATCAATAGCTATGGAGGATCGAAGTTGTAATAGAAACTATCGAAACTGGACAACTATTGAAGATGCTAAACTTGTGGAGGCTTTGGTATACATGGTTAATATTGGAGGATTTAAAGTTGATAACAACTTTAAATGTGGATATTTGCAATATCTAGAACAAGTGTTAAAAGAATCAGTTCCTAATTCTGGTATATTGGGTAAGACACACAGTGAGTCAAGAATTAAAACAATAAAAAAGGATTGGCAAGTTGTCCATGACATGGTGAATGGGAAAAATGCGAGTGGGTTTGAGTATGATAGTATGAAACAATGTGTAATTGCTGAAGCACCAGTTTGGGAGTCTTACCTGAAGGTACCCATTTTATTTTCATACTATATTTGTAGTTATTATTGGATATCTTGCTAATTAATTTTTATCATGAAATAGGCACATAAAGAGGCGGCAAAATGGAAAACAAAACATTCCCACATTTTGAAGATTTGCCTATTGTTTTTGGAAAAGATAAAGCTCAAGAAAGTAAAGTTAGGGATGTTGTTGAGATGGAGGAGCAAGTGAATCTAGAAGAACAAGAACAACAATCAAAGGACACAGAAAGTAGCCATAATATACATAATGCTACAGATTTGCAAAGTGAAGAAGGTTCAAGTCAAGGTAGTAAGAAGAGGAAAACTGGAGTTGAGACTCTTGTTGACGGAATGCATAGTGCAGCTCTCTTACTTGGGGAGAAATTTGAAAATGCATCGAAGAATATATAGACATGGAGATGGATATACAAAACAAGACTTTCATGGTGAAATCTCAACTTGCAAAAATGCAATCACTTTCTAGAGTGGAAAGGTTCATAGCAGTCAAGAAGATAACAAGTGAGCCTGATAACGTGTTAATTTTTTGGAGTTTGGAAGAAAGAGAGCGAGAGGAGTGGGTGAGGTTTGTGCTAGAAGGTTGATGTTGGTTACGATTTAAAAACTCCAATTTAGGTTTTGAAAGTAATGTAATTTGTGGTGAACAGTTTCAGATGTTAGTAATGTAATTTGATTTATGGTTACTTACTTTTCACAATTTTATGTTGATTTTATGAAATAAATGATATTTAATTTAAATAACTTACATATTGAATGGTAATTTTAATTTTAAAGAAAAATGACAGAAAAATCATAAAAGGTCATTTGTTGATATTTTAATTCCAATTCCAAAGTTAAATTTCGTGAACCAAACAAAAAGATTTCAATTTCTTTAAGAATTTTATTCCAATTTTATCTAACGAAACGCAACCAAAAGGGATGGTCAAATTCCATTCCAATTCCCATAAAGTCAAATTCTTTTGATGAATTTCAATTTCATCGAATTTTATTCTACAAACCAAATGCTCCCTTATAGCTATCACACACCTTCACATTTTACTCATCACCAAGAGAATTATCACAACCACCCACCTCAAAAAGCTAGCACTCAAATCTAGGAGGCATTTATGGGAAGGTTGAACCAAGTTCACATGATTATTGAATTGCTTTTGAACAAAATATCATGTTTGACATGTTAAACAAGGATATGATGTAATTGATATGATTATAGGTGTACATGTATCATGTATGTGATGGATTAATATTAGTTCTGAGTATTAAAAGAAGTGGACAACAAAGTAGTGTTTGTATCTATCTTGCTTGTGTTCTTATAATGACCATAGAGCAAATCAAGTAAAACAATTACTTCTCTAGTTTTAGCAATTCCATTATATAAAACATTTAGCTTAGATTTTGGTATCTTACTAATTTGATTGTTTTGGTAGGATTATATTCTCATGGATATCTCATAAATATTATTACTCAATGTTATTTTATCATTAATAACTGGATTTTTTTAACAAGCATGTTTTTTTTACCATAACCAATGCGACCATGTGACCTTTTTTTTACCTAAAAATAGGTCATAATTAGTCCCTTGGACTGGTTCCTTAACCAGACCTTCAAAATAATCACAGACGACAACAATTGATTGGTTATGACCATCCCTTTAATTGTTCAAAATGCAAGGGGTCCCAATTCAGATTCTAGTATTAATGAGGTCTCAAAAATTCATGTATAGAGATGCATAACGCTTGAGCTCTCAAAGCTCATTTTTCAGTAATAAAAAGTAATGCTAGATTTTTAGGGAAGAGCCAAACATTGGATTGAAAGAGAGGGCCATCAAGCTTTTGAGACGGGCTTTTTTTTTATTTTTTTGAAGTATATAATATGTATATACGGCAAATAGAACAAATAAACTCACACATCCTCCTCACCTTTGGTGAGGTTTCAACCCTTGACCTTCTAGAAGGCCAAAGACTCACATACCACTAGGCCAAATTTATGGGCTAACAAGGTCTTTTTGGGTTGACTTTAACCGGGTCTTAAATATAAGGTCGGCCAAACTGAGCCTTAAGGTCGGGCTTAGGCTCGAGCTTACTAGGACCGGGTTTTTTTTATGTCTAAGCTATGGCTTGGGGTTTTTTGTGCTTCTATACATCTAATATCAACCATTTAGAAAAATAATCTTTAAAGAATGTTAGCAGACGTCAAATGGCTAGATGCAAAACTATTAAAAGTGCTAAGAGTAATTAAAAGGCTCTATATGATATAATATAAAATGAAATCAGGTTGTTTAATAAGACATGTTCGGCAGTCATTGAATGATTTGGTACGTAATCATTAAATGGAATATGACAGAAAAATTGTTATTTGGTAAATGTTATAAGTGAACAGTTTAAATAGTAGGAAATTACTATTTTCACCATCTATAGGATTGATTTATTGTTAAATAAGATATATTTGTCTGGTAAATGTTATAAATAAAAAGAATTAGGTCACATCTATATAACTTTTTCATAAATACAACATATCACATTATAAATATATATTACAAAAGACAGCAATATTTGTTTTCTCCCATCCATGTCTTCTTCCTTCTCTCCCTTGATTTCCTTCTATTTCCTCAGCATACGTGGGCTTGGACACAAACCCATAAGAGTCAAGGCAGCCAATAACATCAAAGGCAAAGGATCAATATGTAAATAAAAGTTATGATGAGAAGAACAAGAGATTTTAACCTTTTAATCTCATGTCCACCCATGAATCACGTTTTAGAAAGGAATTAATCCGATGTATCTCGATGCACCTCATTACGGTTGACATTCCATTAGAATCATCCAAGGGTGGAGATCTCTTCTTACGCTTCTCACCATAACTTCCCTTCTAAGTTCTAACCGGAACCCAACGCTAACATCAAATCCTACAAATATACACAACAACAAAAAAAAGGTTCAATGTTGAGAGCGTACTAGAGTAGTATTTTTTTTTTTTTTTGGTTTTGACTGTCTACATTAGTTAAAGAATCGATGTAGGGGTGCATTGGAGATGCTTCTATAAGCGGTTTGTTTACGACCCACAACAAATATCTTGACAAGGAATTGTACTCTAGTAAATTATTCAAACAATGACAAGAATGGTTCTCCAGATCAAAAAAATATTCATCCATCATCCAGCTCATGTGCATGTGCATGTAAATGTTGATCATATATACATGTTTTCTACAATATGCCTATCTGTGATTGTTTGAAAATGTGCAAAAAGCTTCATCCCTCTTTAATCATTCATTGAAGGTGGTGGTTCATGTAGGTTTTGCAAGCATCCATGATTATAACAGGAGGAGGATCCAACAAAAATGTTGATTCCTTTTTTAACATAAAGAGAGTGGTGGGATTTGTGTCCCATGTACCAAGATAAAAGACAGACCATCCTAAACACAATAATAATCAATCATCTTGTGATCATGAAAAATGATTAAGGTCCGGTCAAAACCAAAAACTCTTATTGAAAACTTTTATCCAACGCCTGGTGTTTGTTACAGAAAAAGACAGTTAACACTAGAAATTCAAGAAATCGAAGACAACAATTGTAGTGGATTCAGAAATTTAACACAAGAAGCAGAATCTGGAAGTCTACAATAAACAAATGTGAGAGGAAGGATAAGAACCTTGTTGATGAGATCTTTGCGATAGAGGAGAGCTTGGTTCACTTGTCACCTACCATCCCTTCCCCTAAATCTGGCTGCTAACAAGAATACAAACAAAGTAGACGAGACGAGGGTAATTGTGGAAAGATGCGCCTCTGAATCGTATGGTCATGGACCTGGTAAATGAACAATTAAGTGACAGATGGTAAGGTTCAGAAGCTATTAAAATCTAACCAAACAAGGTTTAGCTCTGACCGAATCAGATATAAGGTATGAATGGCATCATTCAGTTGCAAACAAACAAACCCAAGTGTTCTGAATAGACAGACTGAATGACATAAATGACCATTTTAACCGTCTGTAGGATCATTCAGTTGCACACAAACAATCTCAAGTGTTCTAAATAGACAGACTGAATGACATAAATGACCATTTCAATCCTCTGTAGGATTTAGTGTCATATGAAACATAGCCGTTTGGTAAATATCTAAACAATTGCTTTGCAAATATAAACCACAAACTCAATATTACTCAGTTCAAAAAATCTCATATTAATCCAATCAAAGCATAAGAAGTTCTAGATTAAACAAAAATATAACAATCAAATTCAACATAAGAGTTTTCGAACAATTGTTAATGTGACGCATTAAAATATAACCGATTCGCAATCTAATGACATAAATAACCATATATTCATCATTTTGAGAACCAAAAGGCGTTCCGTCCGTGTCATATTCATCGCCTCCTTCAATTTCTTCTTGTCCTTCGGCAGTAAACATGGGGTCATTGTCGTAATCCATGAATAACTGATCATAGATATTGCATCTTCTCCAACATTCTTCCATAACCTTGGCGCAAGATTACTACTTTCTCGTCCATTTTTTATTATCTCAAAATTGGAAAATCAACATATAATGACAGATGCAGATTCGATGTGTAAAAGAGCACACACACGCAGATTCCATGTGTAAAAATCAAACAGGTGAACAATTGTATAGATGTAAAAATCAATGGTGAAAGTTGAATGTACCTTAACAACAATGCAGATTCAATTTGGAGAGAGCAGATCGTAAGAGAACAGGGGTGACTTCAGAGGGCAGCAGCAGAGGTCGTAAGAGAACAAGGGGCACTCATGGAAAATATAGGGGTCCCGAATGGTTTGAGGATACTCTAGAATCTAGATACAAAAACGCTCAGAGGTTTTTAGAACCATTAAGAGGTAGGTGTTAGTTGCCAAACATGATTTGCCTCTTAGCGATTTCAAGGTTGCCTCTTAATGGAACCAGGTCGTAGCTTCTTTACCTCGTGCTTTAGAGCCAAATAATATCATACCTACACTTGAATAATCTTCACCAATAACCCTTGCAGGAGCAGCATCCATCCTTAAAATGATGAAAACGACTCGAATCCCTCAATATTATCTCATGTTCGATGATCTTGGAGATGTAGATGATTGCAGTGTGACAGTCCCCACAAACCCGCAAGTTTTTCGTGATCCTGATCACGGCACCAGGAGCTGTCGTTAGRATCCCATAAGCCAGTGCGAGCTTCTCGCTATGTTCGACTAGAAGATCGCCTTTCTCCTCATCGTCAACATCATGAAGAGCGAAACTCGTATCAGGAACGTAGCCAATGGCTTTAATCCTATGAATGAGGTCTGCAAGGGTCAYATATATCTCTTCGGAGAGAGGGTGCGTTTTGTCCCCAACATAGAACGTTGCAGTGCCCATCTTCCCTTGAACCCAACTGCAACCGGGTCTCTTGTTGATCCCCGAATCTTTCATCGAATACCGAATCCTGGCAACATCTTTCCAGCGACTCGCATTCGCGTATATGTTGGAAAGAAGCGTATATGTTCCGTCGTTTTCACACCCGATTTCTAATAACTTCCGAGAAGCGTATTCTCCTAATTCTACGTTCGTATGAACCCTACACGAACCAAGTAGTGCCACCCACACTATCGGGCTGGGTTCCATAGGCATCCCTCTGATGAGCTCCATGGCTTTCTCTAAATGGCCAGCACGACCCAAAAGATCAACCATACAGGCGTAGTGTTCGACCCCAGGAACAATTCCATACTCGCTAGTCATGGCGTCGAAGTAGTTCAATCCCTGGTCAACCAAACCTGAGTGGCTACAAGCGTAGAGCACGACAACAAAAGTAACACCGTCAATTAGRAGACCTRAGTTTCTCATCTCRTTAAACAGTTGAAGAGCCTCTACACCACGACCGTGCATTCCATACCCAGTCATGAGGGACGTCCACGAGACAACATTTGTTTGTTTCATRTTATCGAATACAATACGAGMCRCATCAAGATCACCAGATTTAACGTACATGTCAATGAGGCAGTTGTCAACAAATAACACATCGGATTCATATCTRTTGCGAATAACATAAGCATGAATTTGCCTACCAAGTCTTAGAGCAGCAAGACGAGCGCAGGCCATTAGGRCGCAAGATATCGTAAAGGCGTTTGGCATCGTGKRTTTGTAATCGTTTTGTTTAAGCATCTCGGAAAATAGTTCTAATGCATCATTGGCTTCACCATGCTGAGAATACCCACCGATCATGACAGTCCAGGTGATCACATTTCTATTAAATTGGGCAACAGAATCGAAAATCTTGTATGCAAGATCAACGGCTTTGCACTTGGCATACATATCRATCAGAGAATTGATTACCATTTGCTCATCTCCAAGGTCATTGCTCTTTATGTTCAAAATTTGTTTTATGGCATAACAATGAATCTCTTTTCCTTGAAGCAATGTTGCCACACAAGCGCAGCCCGACAGAAGAGAAACTAGAGTGATAACATTTGGTTCGGAGCCAGAAACRAGCATTTTCCGGAAAACATCAAGAGCTTCATATCCATRGCCTCTTTGAGCATAACCAGCAATTACAGCACTCCAAGTCACTACATTTAACTCAATCTTTTCTTGTCGCATGTTTTGGAACAGGGCAAGAGCATCTTCAAATCGACCTATCTGGGAGTATCCGGTAACCATTGCATTCCAAGAAACCACATCCTTTACTTGCATTTGAACGAACACTTTGTGGGCATCATCCATCAATCCACATTTGGCATACATGTCGACTATGGCATTACCCACGAATAAATCCTCAATGAGCTGAGTTCTCAAAGCGTAAGCATGAGCCTCCTTGCCTTGCAGAGATGCAAGAACAGAAGCAAAAGCAGGAAGGATGTTAACAAGGCTAACGGCATCAGGGCAAAGCCGACTTTCGCGTTCTCCATAGGTTGTCATCCGATAAAACATTTGCACCGCCTTTTTTGAGTCACCACTCTGCATATAAGCTGCAACAATTGAGTTCCACGAGATGATATCGGCGATCCCACTATGAATCATTTCGTCAAACACTTGACGGGCACCATCCAAATCACCACAACGACTATACATCGCCACCAACGAATTTCCCACAAACACATTATTTACATACCCAAGAATACAAACTACTCCATGCAATGAAGCACCATGACGGAACGACGGGAGCTCTCCACAGGCCTTGAGAAGAAAAGGAAATGTGTACCCATCAGGACGCCAACCAAGGGATTGCATATTGTGATAAAGCTCGAGAGCTTGGTGAGGTAAATGGAGACGCACTGCACGTCGAATAAGAGAGTTCCACCAGAACACACACGACGGCGAGGGATGGAGGCAGGAGAGGATAGCAAGGGCGTGTGATGGGGCCTCGCAGGAGACGTACATGCCCACGAGTTTGGGTAATTCCGTTGGGTATGAGGTTGTAAGGCCTTTCACTATCAGTTGTTGGTGTAGAAGCTTGACTTTGTTTAAAGAGTTGCATTTTTGGAGTAGCTCGTTGGCAATGGAAGAGAAGTTGAAAGCTAACAGTTTAAAGGGAAACATTGGGATCGTGACAGCATGACGTACACGCATACTAAGATTGGCGAAGGTTGTTTCGTTATACAGAAGACAACGGAATCTTGGGGAATTGGATATCGATGGTTGCCCTACCGACTCCCTCCTTTGTTGTAGGGTCGTTCCTACCTGCAAATATAATAATAATAAGGGTCCCAAATCTTTTACTATATATTAATACTTCAAAAAAGTTTAAAATATAATAAGGCCCAAAAAAGAAATTACTAAATAACAAGGATCCAAAAATATCAGTTAATTATATTAGAGAAGAAAATTTGTAAAAAGTAAACTGGCCTTTCATTGTCTGCTATTGCTTATTGCATCTTCCTATTAAATGCATTCAATCAATTCCCTTGTATTTGTCATGTTTCATAAACTTTTAATCAACACATAATACTTATATAAAGCAAAAATAGAAGAAAGAAAATTCAAATATTTTCATCCATTATTTGATTTCCTCATCTTCTAAAGTTATAACTAAGAGACTTTGAACTTGAGATTGATGGTTTTGAAAAAGTTCGTTTTAACCTGAAAACTTAAAAACAAGTGATGAAAAACATTAACATGGGGTATGTTAGAAACCTAAAGGATTTATATTATTACACGTAAACTGTTACTCCAAACAGTCAACATTGTGACTCAAAAGACGTAAAAGTATACATGGAAGGTATATGTATCATAAGATGTCCACTACAACAAAAGGCACCTATTAGGATGCCTATTAGTATCCTACAAAACCATTTTAATAGGACCCTTAACTTTAGAGGACCAAAAACATAGGCGTCCTATCTAAAGGCCTTACAAAAAGTTGTCAAGACAAAATTAGGCGACCTAACAAGTTATATGATGATGAAACAAATTCAAGTGTCCTATAAAATGTTCTACATAAAGCTAAGAGTCCCAATAACGTATATGATAGGACACTTTATGTGGCCGTAAAATATATATTATCTACTACTACATTTAAAAACACAGATGTTCCAAGAAGTAGTTTCATACGATGAAATTCAATGTTGCAAAAAGAACTTATATTAGTACCAAAATATGTGTCGTAACAAGTTCTATAATTATGAAACAAATTATAAAATGTATTATGCAACCTAAAAAAAGTCCTAATAGAGTATAGCATATACAAGGTTGGCAAATACGATTTTATATATGGATTTGATGCATTGATGGTAGTAGAGGGTCAGGATATAATCGGAATGCACAGAAAACACAACCAGTTGTCCTTCGATTTGACCAGCATATACAACGTTTTGCCGGAAATTAAAAAACCAAGCACAAGAGAAAAATAAGTCGATGGAAATTGCATACCTGTAATGGCTGTTCCGGAGAAGGATCCTCTATCCCTCTCTAAGTAGAATGAAAAGAAACCCTAAACTACAAGTTTAGTACGTGTGTGTGAGGGAGAAAGAAGGAGGGAAATAGAGCAAAAGTAGCCGACGGGGAGCTAATTCCGGGCCCAATCCCCTATTTCCCTCGCCTATTTTTTGAATCCGAATCTCATTCCTTTGAGTTTCGACTCATTTGCAGCATTGTTTTTAGGAATTTGCAATCTTTTTTAGTTTTGTTGGATTTGAAATTAAATTAAATTTTTTTTATTTTTAATATTTATTTGTTTTATAAATAATTTATTTTTTTGGTGTTGATTTTTCTATAACTATATGTTTAATTATCAAATTCTTAACCACAAGGGTGGTATCTGATAGTTTTAAGCTTGGCTTCAAAGATTAAAAGTGTCAGGAGGTCTTAGGTTCAAATCCAATGTAGAACAAAAATCCCCTTGTGGCCACGGAGGTTCAAATGCAGTGACTCCGGACTACCTGTTTTGCAGGTGGTCGCCTTGAGATTAGTCAGCTCGTACAACGGGTTAGATATCCAGTTTAATCAAAAAAATATCAAATTCTTCATTTTTTTCAAAACTATATATTTAATTATCTCATTTGTTGTTCTAAAACTATATATTTAATCATCTAATTTGTTGTTTGAAAATTACATAACTAACCGTCAACATTGTTCTTCCAAAATACATATTTAATCTTTAATTATTTTCATTCTTCTAAAAATCCACTCGCGAAAGCTTCCGTTTTCTATTTTTTGCAAGTCCCAAAACATTATTCACATTTTCAGAGTTTTCTCATATTATTGAAATGGGCAAATTGCATAAAAAAGTAGCGTACTTTAACTTGATTCTTATTTTGGGTAACGTACTTTCAAAACTTTCATTTTGGTACCTAAGATGTAAAGTTTTAACATTTAAGTACCCAGGTAACTCAGTGAAGACTAATTTTAGACTAAAAAAAAGACTAATTTTAGATTAAAAAAATCCACGTCATTGACTAGGTCAACAAATAATACCGAGTTCGATACCACATCACTCGCCACATCGGTATGATAACCAGTTAATACTTCAACCAGTTACCCGGGTACTTAAATGTTTAAAACTTTACATCTTAGGTACCAAAATGAAAGTTTTGAAAGTACGTTACCCAAAATAGGAATCAAGTCAAAGTACATTACTTTTTCATGCAATTTGCCCTATTGAAATTACTTCAAACTTCTATGGTTGAGTCAATGACTGCATTTTTGAAGTCTTGGAAGTGATCATCGAACATTTCTTACCAAGTTCTTCTTCTCATTCGAAACCCTTGTTAAGTTAGTTCGTCATTTTCTCCACACTTTCTCCAAGTTTGGTAACTGTATTATTGAATCTGTCAACCATAGGATCTACTCGGCTTTTTCTCTTCTTACCATGCGCACTTGAAGTTTATTCATATTGTATATTTGCATTGTCGTCATAAATATTGCTACTTGACATCATATTATCGGACTTATCATACAAAACATGTTGTGTTTTGTTCTTCTACATCAACCTCCTCTTCTATCTTGACAAAATCTCTTTTTATATTTCCTTGAGCCTGATCTTTTCCAAATACAATATAAAGATACTCATAAAAAGAAAATGTTTTGTTTTTCCTACCAAACAAGGTATGGATTGGATGGTGAAGTAAAGGAACCAAGTAAAAGCTTGAGCACAAAAGGAACGAATACTTTAAAACCACCCAAAGGAAGCACTTCTAATCTACTCTCCCAAAGGAAACCAACATCTAAAAATAAACCTCGATTTACTCTAATGAGGATAAAAACCAATTCCCCATGGTTGGATTATGGATTCAAAGAATAAAGATTCATCGAGAACCTATAGAAAAACTAAATTCAGGTTGTGAAATTACTTGAATAGCTCACCGCCTACTCTGTAATTTGATTTGTAAAGTGTTAATCAATTAGAAGCCGATATAAGCATTGTAGCATGTGACCTACAACAGGAGTGCAACCTTTCCATGATGCCTAGCTACCATTAGGGTTGGTGAACTCATAAAGGTGACCTACAACCAGGATTGCAACCTTGGGAGTTCGAAAGTTTCAAAAAGGTTATCTTACTATACGTTCAACTCCTAAAGTCATTGGTGCAAAAATTTTAGAAGAAAGCCCAAGAGATATTGTTAAGAAGAAACTTGATGTAAACATACAATAAGAAGAAAACTTGAAATAGCAGTATGATTATGAAGAAAATCATTTGAAGGTAAAAGCATATAGGATGTTTGAAGCTTGATTGAGGATTAAATTTGTGTTGTTGATTGAACTCGAGAGTCGACGATCTGTATACGATTAAGAATAAAACTTGAAGTAAAAGTGTGATTAAGAAGAAAATCATTTGAAAGTAGAAAGAATAAAGGATCTTTGAACCTTGATTGAGGATTTAATCTGTGATGCTGATTGAACTCGAAAGTCGACGATTTGTAGAAGATGGGTGGATGAAATTAGGGAGGTCGTATTAGGGTAGGAAGGAAAGAAGCGATGGAATTTTTATGAAATTCATCAGGATTTGGATTTGAAATACCAACTATCTCCTGAGGATTTCCAAATCCATCAACTACGGGATTTCAAATTCGAGTAATCCTACAAACCAAACACAGGAATAAAATGGATTTGAATTTCAAATCCTTTCTGTTCCTACAAATCGAACGGACCCTTAGGGTTCTAAGAAAAAAAATTCCAATGTCTTCGTCCCATTTTTTAGTAAAAATCAATTATACTTTTTATATTTGAGATATGTTTAACGAATATAAAAGAACTTATTTTTTGAGCTTATTTCAAAAACCCCGTTGGGATAGGCAAAAAGTAACTTATAAGCTAGCCTATTTTTTGAGCTTATTTCAAAAAACCCGTTGGGATAGGCAAAAAGTAACTTATAAGCTAGCTTATTTAAATGCTACATGGAGTAATGTTTTAAAAGCTTTTTGACATTTTTTTAAATTGTAACCTTGATTAATATTAATTATAAATAAATATTAGTGTTGGTACCAAAGGGTATCTACAAATATGAATAGTTTGTAGAAGGGAGGGATGAATACCTACAAACAATATTTTACCTTTTAAATTTTGTAATCGATTAAGAAAAAAACAATATGAAATTTACATATTGTTGCGGAACTAGATAAGGAAGCATCTTAATTTAAATAATCTTGAGAATCACAAAGATATTTCTTGCACAAGAAAAGTAAGAACAAAAGAAAAGAGAGTTAGAAGATGTTGAAGGCATAACTGAGAATAAGACTCTTCTCAGCTATGTATACCTATTGCATTAAATGCACCTCGGAAGGTACAATCCACGTATCAGGAGATGAGTTGAATGCTTGTACTTTTTCTTCAGATTTGGCAGGCTTTTGGCCGCTCATGAACAGTTGTTTCAGATAGTAAGTGAGCACGTTTGTAGACATAAAGCAAATTGTAACGTACCTTTGTCTGGTCAATGCATGGTGTATGTACTTTTGTGCAAGAGAGTAAGATGAAATCAATATTGAATCACAGGGCTTGATCCAACTATAGAGATGGGTCGTTGAGTGCTCTTTCAGCTATCCTTGAGTTTTGTTCAGATTTCACACTTTGATGTAGATAGCCATGGTATCCCTGAATGTCGCTTCAAATCACGAGTAAACCATCTTTATCTTCAACTACTTCTTTTATATCGTTGAAGTTTTCTTTTGGTGTGAGTTTGTATTTGAAGGACTTAAGCTCTAACCTGTTACATTATATGCTTAATGGCAATTAAGTAGACTCAGTTATATCTTATCGCTGAAATTGAAATACTGAAAGCAGAATTTAAGTAATTTAACTAAGTAAAAGGGTCATCACCAAATCACTAAGAGAGTTTGGATCAACAATCACCCTCTATTTGATGATAACAAATCAACATAGAGATAATTGCAAAGATAAAACAGAAGGGAAATAAGACTCATAACGTACTTGTCCCATTTAATATTTTGAGTGATCTTCTTAGTACTAAGATAGATAAAAAGTACTTAACTGAAATTTCATTTAATTGTGGAAGAAGTTACAATTATTGAAATTTAGAAGTACAACTGAAAAGAAATACATTAACTGGTTCCAAAGAAGAAAGTAGAATGTATCTATCAGCTAAGATCATTGAAGGTTATATATATTCAAGGACTTCTTCTCCTTGATTCTTTCATTTCTTCATCTCCCTTATGATCTTTAGATTGATGTCTTTCCCAGTCATGTTAGGTTCACATTAATGAAGAAGGAAGCTTAAATGCTCGAGTGGTACGAGAGGAAGTTTTGAGACTCGCTGAAAGCATAGCTTGCCATCTGTATCTATGAAGAACATTCCTAGTTCAGGTCTGAAAAAGAACCTTACATGGAAATTAAGGACCTTGGTTAGGGAGAGAGAGGTTCAGCATTAATATATCACGGCCTTTCATGTTCAGAATATCATTAAGTGAAAACTTGGTCTGGTGCTCATTTTTATAAGAGGGCCCTTATTCAGTGTTGTTTCTTCGGCGAGAGTTCTTCTAAGGTAGAGGAGGTACAGTAATAGATTTTGACATTTTTGTCAAAGAGAATGTTCAACTCCTTCTCAACAATACCTTTATACATGGATTTGGATTTCTGAATGCACTGCTGGATTTCCAACCACTCCTCATATCCTTACTTATACAAGTATGGAGGATATTCATGAGACTAATTTGATCATCTCTGGAAATCTTCATACTGACAAGTACCTTCCTATTTTTCTTTTTGTCGGTGATGGTGGCATCAATGATTGTCGTGTAGCTGAGACGATGTTTTGTCTTTAGTCTACACCATCTTGGTTCCTTAACCTTTAAAGACAACTCATGTTCTCTGTCTTGTTCAGCTTCCTGAAATAGAATGGCTTGTGCATCCATGGGGTTTGCCCTTCTAAATTTTCCTTTAGCATGCATATCAATGGCCAAAGCCTTTGCAAGAACAAGACTCTCGTTCAGCAGCTTCCATTGTTTTTCAATTTTCTATTGAGCTTTTAGTGCTTCTTCTCTTTCAGCATCATATAGAAAGACGACATCATCACCAAAGGTATGAAGATGAATTTTTACTTTGGTATGAGTTAGCTTAGCTACTATCTGAACCATCCTTTTGGATTCTTCAGCTTCAAAATAAGAACATTGAAAGTTTGAGCTTGAAGATCTTCGAGAAATGAGACTTGAATCTTCATATTCTTCGACATTAGAGTCTTCAGATATATACCATGGAAGTTCTTCTTCAATTGTTGAAGGTATCTCAGATATTTTAGGAGGAGAGTCCCATGATGGATAAGAGGATGAGATTACGGTAGAAGGAGGTGGTAAGGCAAGAAAAGGTTGAGAAAGGGATTTATTACAAAGATAGGTTCAAGAGAAATAAGAGGTTCATAGGTACAAGATAAAGGAAGGGGTTTAGGGATATAGACAACAAGATATGAGAATACCTATGTCTCCCCCTCAAAAGTAGAGAGGTCTTGAATATTCTATTTTCCTTTACATTGATTAACATTGGATCTCTCCTACTAAGAGGATCTTTCTTGCTGAGGCTGAGACGATGGTTCTCGAATGGTGACTTCTTTGTTAATGGGTTGAGGCACTCTTCGAACAAAGAAGTCATCATCTCCATCATTGTCATCATCATTTTCATCTTTGTGCCTGATGTCAGCATTCTCATCATCGGCATCATCATCTTCTTTTTCTTCACCTTCAGCTTTAGCGGCTGCTGAGGTGGAAGGTTGGTCGACTTTGATGATAACAGCATCATCTATATCTTCATTAGTGGCTTCAAATTCATCTTGAGATTTTTCGATTAAGTTGCATGCCTCAGATTTGAGTTTTACTCCTTCTACCGCTTCAGCTTTACAGATGGGCTTTTCATTATTTACAATCTTCTCCCTGTCTTTGTCATCATCATTTACCTAAGAGAGAAGTGCCTAGTTGATAATTCCTTAACACCCTTCTCCAAGCTGGCCAAAGATTGGGCTTGTCACAAGCTCAGCTCTGCGACCATATTGAGTCATCCTGTCAGAGACTCTAAAGGATGGTTCTAATGTTGGTGGATGTTGGATGGCGTGAAGAATTTGCTTAAGAAGATCGTGATGTTGGGTGAGTTGAGCACTGACCTCTTCAGATTGTTTGTTGAAGGAATTATGAAGGGTCTGGATTGTTGATGTGTTCTACACAAAACCTACTTTATCTTTGACACTTCAGCTTTTAGGGTAGTGAGATGTCCTTCAGTGTCAGCCTTGACTTTGGAGAGGGACTTTTGCACAATCTTAGCTTTGGATGTCATAGACTTGACTTTAGTTAGCACCATGTCTAAAGCTGGCAACATCAATTTAACATCATCAGCCATGTCAAATTCACCGGCTGAGGAATTCTCCATGGAAGGACCTGAGGATCATTCAATGTTGTCCAATGGCTCAACCCTGAGTATGTACACTATTATGAGGATCAATGTTTATTTGTTGAGTTTTTGAGAGAAGAGCCCTCATGTTCGGTGCTTGTTGTGGCTTTAGCACTTGTGGGGATAATCACTTTTATGTCATCAGTTCATGTCACCGAGACCAATGGAGGAGGAGACAAAACGATTGCTAAATAATTGGGGGTTGTGATCCTATGGAGCAAGGAGGTAGTGAAGGTGCCTGGAATCATACACTCGGTGATAAAAGTCACTAAGGTGGCTTGGATAGACCTCATAGATACAACAACTGAGAAATCTGCTAAAGAGATGGCTTGGGCTGCAAATGCCTTGGCGCTGAGGCCAAATTCAATAAGTTTGGCCTATCGATAGGCGTCACTCAGCGTTGCGGCTTTTCCCTTCTGGATCTTTTTATCCCTCTTTTGAGGGTTAATATGAGCTTCAAATTGTGTCCTCTTCAGTGAGGAAAATATTTTGTGTTTTGGATGGACATTGAGGCTGAGCCATTGTTGTTGTCCATGCTGAAAGGGAAGAAGTGAGAGTAGAAGAAGCATTTTCTGTTTGAAGCATACTTGGGAAGAGAGGGCTTATGGTTGAGGATTCTCTGACCCAGTCTTGATAGTGAAAGGTCACTGGTTTTAGGATATTCCTCCTTTAATATTCAGGCTAAGACACTATTGAGAAAGAGGATGTAAGGAATCATCTTTTTCCTTTTGATGTTTGTTAATCTTCAGCACCGGATTGTAAAAAGTCAGTTGATCGTAATACACGTTGCAGTTGTAGATTATTGAGTAGCCCATGTTCAGTGCAACTCGATTGGCCTGGTCTTGTCTGCCAGTCTTTCCACCCATGCATTGGAGGAAATGTGTGAAGAGAAAGTTCCAGGCAGTCGTCAGCATGTTCTTCTCGATCTTGGTCAGAGACTTGTTGAGCTCGTCAGTATCCTTCTTCTTAGCCCATTCATATCCGATATTGTCAAGGAACTTGACATTTTCTTCAGTTGACGGTTCGCTAGCATATCTTTTGGATTTTGGGCGGTTCAGTGCTGAAACGAAGGATTGCTAGCCCAAAACTAGCTGATGTATCATCGATATGCAGTGAGATCTTAGTTGTCTCATTCCCTTTAACATCTTGGGTATGGACAGTTTTGGCAGTGTACTAAAACTTCCAAAGGAAATCCTTAATCACAATAAGTTGGAAGGTGAGAGCATGATTAACTACACTATTATGTAGGAACTATGCAACATCAAGGAATTGAGGTTTGCACTTGGTATTTCGAGGAGGGCAAGATGGTTGTTGGGTTTGAACATGCAGTTAACCAGGTCAAAGTTAACATTCTTTGCGGCTTCCATTTTTGTGTTAGAAGAATAGAAAGAAGGAAGAACAAACAAAGATTTTTAGTACAAAATGTACATAAAAAATATACAAGAATGGTTTGAAGGAAGAACAAACAAAGAAGGTAGGAATTTTAAAAAACCAAAAGGAAGAATGGTTTTTAAAAAAGAAATAATTTTTGTTTTTCCGAAAAATATTAAAACAAACAATTTTGAAAAAATAAAGATAGATGGACAATTTAAATGTAGAAAAATAGACCTGCTAGTCTTAAAGATTTAGGAAAAAGATTAGTGTGCGTGTGTGTTCTTGGTTGTTCTTACTTTAGAGAGTGAGGGAAATCGTGCATTGGTTTTGAGAGCGTAAAGAGTGAGAGTGGTTGTGAGATGAATATTTATATGTGAGATGAGAGATAAAGAGGAGAGAGAGAAATGACAGTTTATGACAAGTAGGGTCATGATGGTTTTTGTCACGTCCCTAGGTTTTCATTGGTTAGGGAATGGGAATGACCATCATGTGTCAGAGTATGGGACAATTGTTTTCCTGTTATAATGACCATTTATTATCCTTTTAAAACAACTTTTTCACTAAACAAGAAAAGAGTTAAGTGATTCTTTTTAAGTTTTGAAAGGGTATTACTAAATAAATTATCACAAGGACAAACATTTCAGTGATAGAGAAAGAAAGACGTACCTTGGGAGATAAAATATACGTTTAAGAAGAGTTCAATGATAGAGTAAGAGCACTAAAACATTCATTCATATCACTGAGTATCTTAATAACGGAAGGTTTTAATCCTCGAAATTCAATATTTCTAGTTCGCTGATTAACATGTTAAACCTTGTCTCATCAGGGGGTCTTGTAAAAAGGTCAGCGACCTGGTACTCAGTGGGAATAAAGTGAAGTTCAATATTATCATTCATAACATGATTTCTGATAAAATTATATATAATCTTAATATGTCTTTGAGCGAAGAACAAGATTATTTTCTATAGTTATAACGCTAGTACTATCACAATAAATGAGGATCTTTGATAGATGGGGATCTTTGATAAATGAAGATCATAATCTATGAGTTGATTTCTCATCTAAATGACTTGAGCACAACAGCTACCAGTAACGACTTACTTATCTTCAGTGGTTGATGTGGACACTAAGTTTTACTTTTTATTTGTCCAGTTAACCAACTTTTCTCCAAGAAGCTGGCAACCTCCAATAGTTTTTTTCTATCTAGCGTACATACTGCAAAATCACTATCTGAATACTCAACTGGATAAAATCCTGAGTTAGGATATCAAAGACCAAGATTGGGGTATCCATTCAGGTATCTGAATATTTGCTTTACAACGATCAGATGAGACTCTTTGGGTTTAAATTGATATCATGCATAAAGACAAGTATAGTACATGATATATGATCGACTAGCTGCCAGATATGGTAAGGAGCCGATCATCCCTCTATAGGAAGTAATGTTAACATGTTTCTTATTAGGATCCTTGTTTAGTGTTGGAGGAGGTGCCATAGGGGTTTTCATTATTGAGCATTGAGTTAGATCAATATATCATTAACATACTTAATTTGACTTATGAAGATACCTTTATCAGATTCCTTAATTAGAAGACCAAGAAAGTAAGTTAGTTCACCCTTCATGCTCATTTTATGTTCTCTTTTCATGCATTCAGAGAATCAAACACATAGCGATGGATTCGTGGATTCAAATATAATGTCATCGATATATATATATTTTAAGAAGAATGATATGACCCTTTATTTTCCTAAGAAACAAGGTACTATTAATCTTTACACGTTTAAACTTTTCAGTGATAAAAAAGGAGGATAGGGTATCATACCGAGCACGAGGTACTTTTTTAACCCATAGAGAGCTTTGTCCAATTTATAGACATAGTCTAGATATTTAGAATCAAGAAAAATGGGAGGTTGTTCAACATAGACTTCTTCTTAAAGTTTTTCATTATAAAGGCACTCTTTACATCCATTTGATACACATTGAAATCTTTGTGAGCAACATAGGCTAAAAATACCCGAATTGCTTCAGCCTGGACACTAGAGCAAAGGTTTTATCATAGTCTATGCCTTCCTCTTATCTATATCCCTGAGCAACAAGTCTAGCCTTGTTCCGGGTTATAGTGCCATGTTCATCCAGCTTGTTATGATACAACTATTTGGTACCTATAACTGACTTGTTGAATGGACGAAGGACACGATACCAAACCCTTTTATTTTTCAAATTCAGTCAGTTCTTCTTGCATAGCGTTGACTCAATTTTTGGATCCTGATGGGTTCATCGATTTTCTTGGGTTCTGCATTTAGATCACCAATAATTTGATGAATACAATTATTCTTTGTCCATCTCTGAGTGGGTTCTTGAGGTGTAAGATCTGGATCTTCAGTAGGTGGAGGCTCAAGTACTAAAGATGAGACTTCAACAATAGATTCTTTAGCATTCAATCTTATCTCTTGGAGAGTTTAGATAGAGCATTGTTTACTGGAAGAGATTCAGTGGTTAAAGATTATTCTTCATTTGAGTGGTCAACATTTAATGAATCCAAGGGTGGCCTGTGTTAATAGGAATAGCAGATATCCCTAAAGAGGATTCAACTCTACTATTATACACACCAGGAATGATATTTAGATCATTAACAACATCTGATTATTCAGTGTGATAATGATCACTGAATGATGCTTCAAGTTCTCTAAAGTGAGATATCATCCATTAGTTTCGTTCTTCATCATTAAGAATAGGCTTTGAGTTAGTTGAACGTGATACATCAAAAGTTACATGAATTGTTTCTTCAATGCCTTGACTTCTTTTGTTGAATACTCTGAATGCTTTGGATATAGAAGAATATCCAAGGAAGATACCATCATCAGCTTTAGGATCAAACTTTCCAAAATTTTCTCTGTTGTTAAGAATATAACATCTGCAACCAAATATATGAAGAAAGTTGAGCATGGGATTTCTTCCATGAAAGAGTTTATAAGCTGTATTCTTGAATCGCTTGACAATCAGCGAGCTTCTAAGTAAAACGTGTAGTGATGACAGCTTTAGCCTAGAAATGAGTTGGAATATGAGATTCACCGAGCATTGTTCGAGCAGCTTCAATAATGGTTCTATTTCTCCATTCTGCAACTCCATTTTGTTGTTGCGTTCTTACAGCTGAGAAATTATGAGAAATTATTTTGCTCTAAAAATATATAGGGTACCGTTTTTGAATTCAATACCATGATCAATCTTATTGAGTGAAGTTCGGCTATTGAGTACTTTCATTTTCTTACAAAGGAAATACTTTTTTTAGGTGTGTCACTGTTGGATCTGAGAAACCAGACCCATGTATACCTAGAGAACTCATCAACAATAACGAGGGTATACTTCTTTTCAAAAAATGGATTGTATATTGACAAGGCCAAAAATCCATGTGAAGTAGATGGAGAGGAGTAGTTACTAAAGAGACTTGCTTTGATTTGAAACTATTTTTTCTTTGCTTCCCTTTCTCGCATGTTAAGCAAAGAGATTCCTTTGCATATGAGTGCTGAGGAAGTCTTGTAACTAGTTCCTTTGCAGTGTCTTAAAATTGAGATGGGAGAGCCTCTTATGCGATAACTAGTTGATA